AAAAGCCGGAGTTAGAAATTAAATGGCATGCATTATTCCAGCATAGGACCGTTACCCATGTACATCCTTCGACGTTCCGATAGCGGCAGTTGTTTATACGGAGCAGTGATAGCCTTACCACCATGCTACAACTTGTCACTGGCGAGAAGTACCAATCCCAATGACCAATATTGTCATTTATTCTCCATAATATTCTTATTTGCTGTCACGTTACTTTCTTAATCCCATCTCAGTTGGCCAATTCATTTACTTACCATAGTTGATACCCTCTCAATCTCCAATATTAGGGAAGTAGATTTCCTCAAGTGAGTTGATTGGGAATAGTTAGCTTCATCGCAATTACCCACACCGTGTCGGGCCACCTAATTGAGGAATTATTCACATGATCAACTGATTGTTTGTAAGCTCTTCTATACGAGAATTTAACCTACTTTTCTGAGGCTAAATCCAATTTTAATCGGCTTTTGATGAACGGGTTAATTATTTGGAGACAAATGAAGTCAATGCCCGGACATAGAATTAATGAACAAAAGTACACACAACAAACCGATTAAAGCTGATCACTTATTTAGACTGGATTTAAATGATAGATACTTGTTAAAATCGTGCAGCAACAACAGAATGGCTTGTCTGTGTCAGCATGCTTGAGAGCTGTCAGTAATTCTTGAGCAATAACCATAGTCAACCCAGTTCGCTGAGAGTTAAAGATAGATAGTGAGATTATCGAAAATGAGATGAGTAGGCCTTAGAATGCCGTTGTAATTGACCCTGTCTTAACTCATCTAGGCTGAACTGAAGTTCTAAGTGGAAGGGACAGATTAAATGTGACAATAGAAAAGCCAAACCAAGAGACCCTATAGAAGGTGGGGAGGTGAGGAAGGGGTGAAAATTCGTAGTTTTGAATAGAAGACTCAAAAGGGCACGAGAGAAACATGAGCTCAGAGCCGGCTTTAGTAGGATTATCGTACAAGTGCTGTCGGAAAAATCGGGCCTGGTCATGTGAACAAGTCTTCGAATATAACGAATACAACGGTACAGGCTGTGAGATGGTTATGAAAAAGTGTCAAAGCAAGGAGACACTTGTAAATGGCGAGTGGCAGAAAATTGGGATATAGACCGGACATCTTGTACCATGTAGGGTAATGGAACAGTAAATTTACCTGGGCATGGGGAGCAATGCCACCACCATTCAGCATATAACTGGTTAACAAAGAGCTTGACTTAACTTCTCACTGACGAGTGATTTGTGGGTGCTAAGGGTAATACTGGTAACCGACGGTGCCGGTAACGATACTACCAAAACGTCTAGGAACGTAACCGGTCAACGGTCCAATGCCAGGATAGCAAGGGAAAAAGATGACTAGATAAAGATTACGTCTCTATAATGACCCCTTGAAATCAGGACTAAATCGCGAAAATGAAGTCTAGCCATCACAATGCTGTTAAATAAGACTGCGACCACGCCATCTCAAAGTAATTTTGCACCGAGGAAATCAGCCTTTGTGTAAAGCAAGCCGGCCCAAGATAGTCAGCAATACGCTGATAGGAAGACAAAGCGAGAATGGAAGGAATGATGACAACTCAAAGTGCTTACATCAAGAGTCAAATAAAATATCCGCATCAAGTTAATTGAATCTCGCCTTTATCAATTCCTGCCTAGTCGGACTGGCATCATAAGGAAAAAAATATTTGCCATTATTCTAAGCAATATTACTATAGTGGGGTTCGAAAATATCAGTAAATATTTATAAAGGAACTATGATTTCCATGAGCGACTTTAAGTGATGAAATAGTATTAGGGTCTTCAACAGGTCAGAGGGGCCGAAGTAGTAGTACACTCAAGGTGATAAAACTTGCCGATAGGTCCTCATTACTCATTTCATTTTGAGAGTTTCAGCTATCACGTTTTCTATTAGCCTAAATAAAACAAAATAACGATGTTGTTTGAGCTTTTTCGGATTTAATATACATAGAATGGCCTTACTCGAAAGATAGCATCGGCTCACTTTTATATCTACCTTTAACATATTACGAATATTTAATCCATTAAAAACGTCACTCAAAATTCCCCTTTCACCCTAATAAGGCCAATTATAAGATGAGTCTATAGTAAACCCATCACTTCCCCTATTTCTGCCTGTTGATCGTGTATTCTTTACTAGGCCCAAGAGAATAAGATTAAACAAATAGATGAGGGCTCTGAATGCCAGGCTGCACAGTAATAGCTTACGAAAGTTCTTGTTTATATAGTTTCGATTGCATAGAAACCTTAACATCACATGCGAGGGGACTAGAAGCCAGGATATACACTAGGGCATACATTCGAGGTCCAAACAATCGCAAATTAGGGGGTTCGACAAAAACCTGACCCGATTTTAAAAACATGTTGCTTTAGGCGAGGTGCTAACACTTTTGGAGGCTTTCATTTGGTATAAAAGCGCATGATGAAGAGATTCACAGGTCGATCTCACCATAAAATGATGGATGACTTACTTTATACTGGAGCCGTTTGACTTTAGGTGCTAACTTGGAATAGGCCATCGAATTCTGGTGAGATCGACCTATGAATCTTTTCATCATATACCTTCATATGAGGTTAAACTACGACAATTTTATCTTAAGAGCTTCATCGAAACCCAGTTATTCTTCGTAGCAATAGTCTCAACATCTTAATATTCAAAGTATTCTGCATGAGTTCCAAAAATAATAAAATATATTGTAGGCAAGACCTAAATAGCATCGAGATAATAAGTGTTGCTCAAAAGAAATAAGCTCAACTATAGAAATGTATTTAAATAAAAACAATAGGCGAGGTATGAAATATAAAAAGAGAAGCTGATGGCTGTTTCTGAGCAGTATAACGAATTATATTACTCCTATTTTGCAGATGCACTCTCTCCCACAGGAAGAAATTCACTGATCACTAAAGAGGCGTTTGTACCTCCGAAACCAAATGAATTAGTCAATGCTATCCGCGGCCTCTTTTCATCAGGCCAGGCGACCGAAGGCCCAGTGTCGTCAGCTGCCGACAGTAGATTGATTCGTGGGTAACTTGATTCTGCTTGCTCCTGAAATGGACGGAGCCAAGATTCAGAGGTGATTGTTGACACTAGATTAGTGAGAGCAGCTGTAAAATGGTCATTGCTTGGTGGACTTTCTAAGTTGAGACAGGCGACAATCTGACCACAAGCCACTGAAAGCACAGTGTAGGCTGCTTCAATTGCCCCAGCAGCGCCAAGGCAATGGCCCAAATGACCTTTTATGCTGTTTACGAAGATGGAGAGCGGGGGGCCAAATGAGTCAGGAGTAGCGGAAGCCAAAAGCCGACCAATAGCAACCAGTTCAATCAGGTCTCCAAGGGGTGTCGATGTTGCATGGCAGTTTATATGGCCTACCTTGGAAGATGAATTTCAGTGGCATATTAAGCTAAACAGACAAAAGTTATTTAGAAAAAAATATAACTATTTAAAGATGCGTCAAAAAATTCTCCTGGCTCTCATCATAAATGGGAAAACCATATAAGGCTACTTGCGAGGACTCTGGGCTTAATTGGAAAATATTCTTCTGCTCATATAAGATAATTGAAGAAGCCACATTTGTGTTAGTCTGAATGCAAATAATTATGAATGAATAGAATTCTTGATGCGTGAAGAACCAGTTTTGGGGTTATTAGTAGAGGATAAGAATCAGGTCCAAATGGGCAAATTGTAGAAAGGTAAATTCTATAAAATTCCATAAGAATACTTTTCGAAATCCTTCAGATAAAAGAGTTCTGCATTTTTTGTGCCCCCATTCAAAGTAAAAGAATGCAGATTTAGATAGTTAAAACAGGCAAAAAAACATGCAGAATTCCACACCGACATTGCCTACAAAATGCAGTCTATATTGGACTAATATAAGAAAATATACCATTGTATGAGATAGGAATAAACCTAAAAGGCTGTCTGTTTGGTTTCGAAGTCTCTAAGTCTGAAGCCGTCAGTTTATCCCAAAACTCATTAACTGAATATAAATTAAATTTGTAGCAACTAGGGCTACTGGGCTTATGTTATATGTGAGTACTAAACTTAAAGTAGGAGAATGAACAAATTGTGAATTTTAATGGTACAAAATAGTGCTGAGGACAATACAATTAAATTATCAAGAAATCTCTGTCCAAATTCTGATGGCCCAAAACAAGGGACTTTAGGCGGTAAACATAAAAATGTGAAGATTATACAAAAATTAATTCCAAATAGGCTTTTGTAGAAATGAGTCCCGGCTCTGGCGATGTTCATCATATGACGAACGAAAGCTCAGCCCGTCTTCGCTCGAAACATTGGAGGATGTCTCGTAGACTGTATCCACCTGAGCGTCATGTTAGTGCCAAACGGTGGCAGTACAGCGCGAATCAGCCGACGTCTTCCGGTGAGATTGACCTACGAAGTTCTTCAGAATGCACTTCAATAAGAAATGAAGGTCTGCGCATAGATCTTATCTCAGGAGATTCTTCGAAATGCGCATTTTCTTCGCATATTCAACGTAAGTATGATTCAAATTATTGACATCTGCCTTCTCGATACACTAAAACCAAGAAAACTATGTCCCGGCAAGTCACTAAAAAAAGAAATTAAAAAATTATATTTCTCACAATGTTATTCCCAAATGCTATTTTGTTGGTAGGTTTAACAATTTACCTATTTATAAAAAAAGGAATTTGATGAGGTATCGAGTGGTTTGGTTAAGACCAGGCTTAAAGAAAGCACAATCAAGTTACACGATCTGATTATAACCAAAATCCTTTGTTATATTCCTAATGAGAAAGACTTTCTCAAGTCACAAGACATGGCTGACGGTTTGGATGAAGCAATCTATAAAATGACTAGGAGGGTTTATGATAAGAAACCAAAAAACTTTGTTATTGGGATCTGTTCAAGGGACCCTGCACCTAATGACAAAGATTTATAAGAATAGGGCTGACGAATTCTGCAAGGATGGGGGGTAGTTAATTGATCAAACTCGAAGCTGGAGGATGGAGTAAAATGTCTACTGGAAAAAGGAATAAATTTAGCAATACCGAATGAAGTAAACCATTTTCTGAAAAAAAACGGATCTGTTAATTAGTTTATCAGATAGATTACCTAAACAAGTCGAGAATAGTATAGGGTTGAAGGTGATTCGTAACTTTGACCAGGTAGTTACATCAAAGAAGTCCTTTGTCCTGAGCAGAGTAGCTATATATTTAGTCCGCAATAATCTAATTGCTATGAAAGCCGTCAAGAGTCCTGGATAGGTCAAGTTATCTAGAGAAAATGCATGTGCATTTAAACGACAGTGATACATATAGGTCTTTATTGAAAGATCCTGGAAAGGGACTTAAAACTAAGCTAAGAGAGGCTTTGAAGGTATGTATAAGTAGTGGGGAAATAGAAAAGTCGCAAATGAATTCCCTACTTCAAAGAGATGCCAGAGCACTCTCTGCTTATGGCCTTCCAAAGATGCATAAAGGGTTTACCATTAGATTGATTGTCAACAATAGGAGCAATTTAATCATACTGGAAGACAGAGGAACGCACCTAGTCCGAAGTCCATAGTATTCATGATAATTTCCAGACTCACGACTAGATGCTTTCCTCTAGGTCCTCCTGCCAATATGCCCAAGTTGCGAAAACAAGGCCAAACAACGTCTATACATCGAAAGGGAGATTATTAAGGGAATCAAGTTAGGTATGGTCTCCATTCGAAGGCCCCTTAACCTATCCATGAGTAGTACATATTTCACCTTTGACGGTGAGCTTTATGAACAGACACAAGGACATTCAATAGGCTCGTGCCGAGCTCCAATTTTGGCAGATAACTACAAGGCTAAGTTTGAGAAACGCTAAATGCAAGAGGTAATTCTGACTCCTAAATTATTTGTTAGATATATGGATTATTATGTTGTGATCTAGCAGCATGGTAAAGATAGTCTAAATAGTCTCCTATTTTCACTTAGCCAGCGTGAAAGAAATATTAAATACAGAATTGAATTAGAATAAGTTAAGTAATAACTTTTTGGACGTTATGATTATTAAAGATGATAAGTTGGTATAGATGTGTATATGAAACCAGAATACGCTTGTTTTGCTCTTAATTTTCTTTTTAAC